CGTCCCCACTCCCCCCCACCCCCCCCCCCCCCCCCCGCCACAGGCTCGCACAGTGTGTGCGTGGGAGCATGTACGAGTGCAGAGGTGAATGTGTGTGCCGTGACTGGGCGGCCTCGTGTGCCTGCACGTATGTGGAAAGGCATGCATGTACACGTGTGTGTGACAGCTTCTGTCCCTCTGGCCTGCTTCCCCACCTGTACACGAAGGGAGGGACTCTACTCCTTGGAAGGCCCTTCTTACTGGGCCCATCCCAAGTGCTCAGCCTGGCTCCACCCCCTGCCCCTCCCCACAAACAGGCCTGCGTTCCGGGAAAAAGGGAAGGAGACAGCTGGGGGCTTCAGAGGACGAACATAGCCGGGGCCCACGCCCCTCCGAGGAGATGAGGGGCAGAGACACACTCCTCCCCGGGGGTGGGTGGGCCAGGGCTCTCCCAGTCCCACTCGGAGGTCTCCCCAGGGGCGGTACCTGGTTCGAGGCCCATCCCTGCTTGTCCGTCCAGTCCCTGTGGCTCCGCACGTACCACCACTGGATCTCCAGCGAGTAGGAGGGGGAGCCGCTCCCGCGGAAGGAGCAGGCCATCTCCACGTCCTCGCCCGTCCGCGCCGTCATGTCGTGGGGCGTCTCTGTGAACAGGGCTGTGCGGAGAAACCGGGGGAGGGGTGGCCGGGGCTCAGGAAACAGCGGGGCCGGCGGCCCGGGGCTGGTGCGGGGGCTGGAGCTGAGAGAGAGGGAGCGGCCGGGCCTGCGGGCGGGGGTGGCCTGGCTGCAGGTGGGCCACCTGGACGAGCTCCGCGAGGCTGCGCAGAGGCCTGTGCGGCGGCAGCTGGCCAGACCTGGGGATGAAGGCGTAGGCCCGGGGCCCCGAAAGCCCCACACAGCTGGGCCTTGATCCCGGGGCCCGCGGGCACCAGATTCTCGAGAAGGGAGCGATGGATCCGAGGAGGGCTTGGTTGGAAGGTGTGAGCAAGGAGGCCAGGGAGGAAGCTGCCGTTTTCATCAGTTCTTCCCCGATTTCTCCAGTTGCCCCCATCCTGGGTCATTCCCCACCCCAGGGCACAGCGTTCAGCACCGTCTTTGCAAAACCAAATCAGACCTACCCACCCGGCCCCCTCGGAACCCTTCCTCGGGTCCCCTCTGCACCAGGTTGGGGGGCAAGCCCTGCCCACCTCCCCCTGGTCTCCATTCTGTCCTGTGAACATGCCTCACTTTCTCACCGCACTTTTGCCCTCGCTGTTCCCAATGCTTGGAATGTTCTTCCCCTGGTCCCTCTACGTCCAGCAAGTCACTCAAAGCTCAGCTGAAACTTGGTCCCCTCAGAGAGGCCGTCCCCGACCACGTGGGTAGGTTCCCCTCAACCCCCCCATCTCCCACCTGCCTGGGGAATGGTCACGGTCTTGCATCGGTTCACTGCCTGCTCTGCCTGTGCAAGCTGCATGAGAACAGGGACCAGCTCTCCTGTGGCTACACATCTCCTGGCACCTCGTAGGTGTGATATATCCTCCATCCTCTCAAGAGCCCCAGGAGGCGGTGGGAGACACATGTGCCTCCCATCCCTCCAGCAGGGTCCAGCTCACCCACCAAATCCCAGAGCAGGTGGTTCCTGGGACCCAGCAGGAGCCCCACCCACTGCCATGCCCACCAGGCTTGCAGGTAAGAGAAGACAAATCCCTGCTCAGTGCAGCCCAGCACCACTCCCCACCATATGTTCTGACACTCGTCTCTCCAAACAAATACTGTCCTGAGCTGTAATTAGAATCCTTTCCTCTTCTCAGGAGAGATTTTCTCACCCTGGAAAGACACCTGGCAACAGGCAGGTCACCCAGGGAATGCTGCAACCATCAGTGCCCCCATCCCATGCCCACCTTGCTGCTGCAGCCTGCCAGACACCCCGACCCAGCGGGCAGACAAGCCCACCTTGCAGCCCCGGTGGTCCCTCAAGGCACCGCTCAGCTCAGGGCAGGAGGAGGACAGAGTCTGACTGGGGGCGGGGGTCCTGCTCTGGGGCCACCTCCCTCCACCCCCTCCCCATGATCCCGAGGGCTTTGGGAGGTTCAGGATTGATAAGTTGCTTTTTCTGCTCTGCACACAGGGTTTCCAAGTGGAGCCTAACTCCAGCAACGAGTCTCTGGGCTAAGAGAAAGTCTGTGACATCCCTGACCTCCACGGTCATGGGTTCAGGCTGCCCACATCCTCTGAGGCTCGGGAGGGACTGGCCGCTGTTGCATAACAAGGCCCATTTAATAAGAATGGGTGTTGTTGGAGTTACTGAATACAAGCCAGGCGTAGTGTGCGGTCAGCTGAGAGCTGGGCAGCAGGCTCCTGGAGGAAGGTGCCCGCCCACCCGCCTCTGCCTTCCAGGTGCCCAGGCCCCAAACTGTAGATTTGCCCTTGCCTCCCTCGTTCTTCCTCTTACACCCCCTTTTAATCTCTGGGGAATCCCATGGGTTCTGCCTCCAGAACATCTCCTGAATCTGGTCCCTTCTGCCCACTCCGACTGCCCCATGCTGGGCCAGCCGTCACCACCTCTCAGCCGTAACAGTGCGGGAGCCTCCTCACTGACCTCCCTGCCCGCTGCCCGGCAATTTATTTTCAACACAGCAGCCAGAGGTAATTTGGTAAAACACAAATCAATCCCTGTCTCTTCTGTCCTCAAGCTACTTTTCCACTTGCTCATTCCATTCCTGACACGATGGCCTCCTTGCTGCTTCTCCAACGTTCCAGCTGAGATCCTACCTCAGGGCCTTTGCGCGTGCTGTTCCCTCTGCCTAGAAGGCTCTTCCCCCAGATTCTCACATGGCTCCCTCCTTCCCCTGCTTCAGGACTCTGCTCAAATGTCACCTCCTCAGCAAGGCCTACCCTGACCACCTCACTTAAAACTGCATCCCTGGGAATTCCCTGGCAGTCCAGTGGTTAGGACTCGGGCGCATTCACTGCCAGGGCCTGGGTTCGATCCCTGGTCGGGGAAATAAGATCCCACAAGCCGCACGGACAAAATAAACAAATAAATAAAAAATTTTAAAATGAAAAGAAAATTGCAAAATTGAATTTGTATTAAAAAAACAGACAAAAAAACTGCATCCCTTGCCCCAACCCAGTGCTTCAAATCCCTCTTGCCTTCCCACATACTAATAGTGCTGTGTCCACTCGAACTTTCTGTGACAAGGAAAATGTTCTATATCTGAGCTAATACAGTAGCCACCAGCCACACGTATCTATTGAGCATCTGAAATACGACCAGTGTGAATGAGGAACTGAATTTTAAGTTTTATTCCATTTAAATTCGTTTAAATTTAAATGTAAATGGTCATTTGTAGGTAACGGCTACTGTATCGGACAGCACAGCTAATATTTATGTTTATGGTCTGCTTTCCCTTCCAGGAGGCAGGGGCGGTGCCTGTCTTGTCTACTGATATATCCCCAGCTTGGCACATAGTAGGTGCTCAATAAATACTTTTTGAATAAACAAATGAGCAGACCTGGCCGGTCAGTGGTGGAGCAGCGTCCACAGGCAGGAGGGGCCCTGTCCGAGAGTCCCAGGCCAGGCCCAGCTCTCCATGCCTGCTTTGGTGCTGACTTGCCAACTCGAGCAGGACTGAAGGGGGCCACCGAGGACCGAGCCACCAGGAGGGCTGGGAGGGGATCAGAGCGAGCCATCGGCCCCCGGTCCTGGGACAGCCGGATTCGGCTTTGATCCAGGCCCCTGCCCACCCAGCACCCTTTGCAAACAGGGGAAAGAGGAGAGCGGTGAGGCCCCCTAGTTGGATCCGAGGTAACCGGCAGTGTGACCCTGCTGACCAAGCGACAGTGGGAGGGACACAGCTGTGACCCTCTCCAGGTGCCACTGCCTGAGCCACGGGAATCAGAAAGTACCCACACTTCTCCCTCCTGCAGATGGAGAAAGGGGGTCCAGAGCTACTGGGAAGTGGGGGGTTTGCTCATCCCAGGACCACAGAGCTGGGAAGGGTGGAGCCAGCCCTGGAGCCTGGGCCTGTGTGACTCAGCCACGGCCCTTCTCCCAGAGATGGCTGAGTGCGGGAAGCACATCTGTCCGACAGGAGGGTGGGAAATGGTACATCTGGGTCTCATGGGTGGAAGGAAGGGCAGAGATGGGCTGTCCTTGGGTGGGGTTTCCATGAGGGTGACCTGGGGAAGAAGGGCCATCCTCCATCCACCCTCACTCAGCCTCCCCCTGCCCACAAGCTCCCCCAGCTGACTGAAAAACCCTGACCCTGGCCCACCAGCTCTTCTTACTGATGCAGAAAATGAGGTTCAGAGCGGGCAGTATCTGGCCTGGGGCTACTCAGCAGCCAGGGGTCAGCAAGGTCAGGCTTCAGGCCCTCTCACCCCCAACACACAGCCCTTATCCCCCAACCCGGATCCCAATAACTGTCCTCTAGAGGGCACTGTCCAACAGACACCAAATGCAAGCCACGCAGGCAAGACACATACGGCATTTTTAATTTTCTATAGCCATATTTTAAAAAGTAACAAATTTTTAAATTTTAATCATTTATTTTATTTAACCCAATATATCAAAAAATTATTTCAACAGGTATAAAATTATTAATGAGATATTTTACATTCTTTTTTGTGCTAAGTCTTGGATATCCAGCATGTATTTTACATGATTACAACACATCTCAATTTAGACTAGCCACATTCCCACTGCTCAGTTGCCAAGTATGGCGGGTGTCCTGGCAGGTGGTGACGCTGTGCCAGCCTCAGCTCCCCTCCCCCTCACATGTCCCCATTGCTCGGAGGAGGCGGCCCAGGACCAGCATAGGGTGGTAACCCTTCCAAGGCCACGCGGCAGAGCTTGGATTTCAATCCAGGGCTGTTTGACTCCCAAGGCCATGCTACTCCCAGAGAATTCAAACTCTTTTTGGTGGTAAGGCTCTTTCTTAAAAAGGAACAGTCCCAAATGGCCAACCCTGCCTTGGAAGGTCCTGGAGAGGACCCTTCCTCTGGGACAGGGTGGGGAGTCTGTTTTATTCTGAGTGTAAAGGCCTGGGTGGGTACAGAGGAGGCATTTCACCCAGGCTGAGGCAATCAAGGGAGGCTTTCCAGATGGGGTGTTGCTCCCCCAATCCCCAGGTGGGCCAGATGGTCCTGAGCTGGAGTGGGGAGGGGCACTGGCTGGGAGAATGGAGGGAGAACCCAGCTCCAAGAACTCCTGGGAGCCAGGAGAGTTGTCTGCAGGTGTAGCCACCAGCTCTTCCTCGCCACGGTGGGCTCTGATCCCCTCAGACCCTGCCTGGAGGCACTTGGTGGAATGGATTGGGGGAGGCGCGCTCAGGATCCCATTGACTCCAACCTCAGTGGTGATGGGGGCAATGCATCCTCAGGACAAGTGGGGAAACCGAGGCTCTAGACATTTGATGGCATAGCTGAGTCTTCCTGTTCCAGAGGCAGCAACACGAAGGTTTGTCTGGGCTCCACCCCAAGGAAGCCCCTTCCCCCCAGGGAGAAGCTGTGTGCAGATAACTGCCAGGAGCACAGGACTGAGCTGGGGAGGAGGTACTGAACCTGTTTCTGCCAACAGACTTGCTGTGTGACCTTGGGAGAATTTCTCCCCCTCTCTGAGCCTCAGATTGCTCCTGTATACAATGGGGGATGTACCTCATGGTCTGAGACC